GTACCATTCAAGTAATTCAAGGAGTCTAATCTCACTGATAAATACAGAGAGGTTGTGGATATGTTTATTTCTTTTGTTTGACACCAATTTTAAAAGTCTTTTTTCTTTAGTATTTTTTTCACTTTATGATCACTGGAGGGGGCTCTATAATAGCCAGGATTCCAGGGCTTTGTGCACTCCTATCCTGATTTATGTATCAGGGAAAGCCACTGATGGAATGCATAATGCACGGAAGTATCTCCTGGAATGCATCTCACTTCCGGTTTCACTCACGGATATAGGAACAACAGCTGTGTCAAACAGAGGAAGATTATATCGACGAGACAGGTGATCCAGGTGATGAAAAGCCCAATAGGAAGAAAGAGGATGCCACTAATGAATTTAGGGATAAGCCCTATTTAAGGAAGCTTGAAGATGGGGGTCGTAAGCCTGCTTTTTTATGGCATATTGTCATTTTGTGATTTGCTTTTATTATATGGTCCCTGAGGAAGTCCTATTTCTAAAGACGAAACATGTAGGACCGACCATATTCTTATTATTTATTTGAAAGAATTATTTATGCTGTATTCAATCAAAGCTGCTTTTTTCAACTGACCACCTGAAGTCCTGTATCCCAGTGGTGAACGTCCAGGGAAGTGGACAACAGCCCCCCGCCACCATCTGGGGAGGCACCTTATTAATGCCCAATTATGATATCTTCTTATAATCAGCTGTTTCCCTATCTTGTTGTATATACTTCAATTAACACTATCTATTTTCTTGCACTTACAAACTGCATCTCAGTGTGTCACCATTTTACAGTAATTACACTTCAGTGACTGGCACCCATTTTAATTAATGGAGCATGCTTTGGCTCTGTGCCCTTTCTGGCCATAATTGTGACAAGTAATAATAGAATCATCTTTCATTCTGAATCTAGAAGTAACATTGCTTACTTTTAACACTTTATCATTATTATTCTCATCTCTCTCCATCCACTACTAACTTTTCCCCTAACCACACTTCCTCAGCTATCCTATGCTCATTTGCACCCATTACAGCAGAAGAGGTTTCTGCTCTGCTCCGTTCCTCCCGCCGCCCCACTTGTTCCCTCAATCCTATTCTCTTGTATATCATCCGCACTTTGTCTCTTTCTCTTGCTCTGCCTCTCACTAAAATTTTCAATCTCTTCCTCTCCTCTGGCACATATCCACTACCCTTGAAACATGCAAACGTAACCCAATTCTGAAAAAGCTCAACCTTGACCCTAATTCCTGTCCATCTCACTAGTGCCATTTGTCTCCAAAATCCTTGAGCGAGTTATGTATGTGAGATTGAGACTTCCTCGAATCCAACTCTCTACTTGACCCGCTTCAATCTGGATTCCGCACTCGTTACTCTGTGGAAACAGCTGTGACCAAAGTATACAATGATCTTATCACTGCTAAATCCCATGGCCACTACTTTATCCTAAATCTCCTCGATCTTTCTGCTGTTTTTGACACTGTTGATTATCAACAGGTTCTTCTCATCCTCCGTAATCTCGGTCTACGAGATATTGCTCTACCCTGGTGCTCTTCATACCTCTCCCAGTGCTAATTCAGTGTGTCTTTGTCTGGCTCTGCCTTTTCTCCCCAATTCCTCTCTGTTGGTGTTCCCCAAGGGTCTGTCCTTGGTCCCCGATTGTTCTCAATCTACACTGCCTCCCTTGGTAAACTCTTCAGCTCCTTCTGCTTCCAGTATCATTTCTATGCAGCTGACACGCAAATGTATCTGTCCCTTCTTGATTTCTCACCACCCCTCTTGACTCGTGTCTCTGACTGCGTCTCTGCTATTTCCAACTGGATGGCTGCTCATTTCCTTAAACTGAACCTGTCCAAAACAGAACTTCTGGTCTTCCTTTCCTCAAGTGTTGCTACTCCCTTGTCTGTGTCCCCCCAAGTCAATGGCACTACCATACGCTCTACCTCTAGGGCTCGCTGCCTAGGTGTTCTCTTTGACTCCGACCTCTCCTTCACCCGTCATGTCCAATCAATCGCCAAATCCTGCTGCTTCCATCTCAAAAAAATTGCGCGCATCCGACCCTATTTAACACCTGATATGGCAAAGGTGCTTGTCCATGCTGCTGTCCTCTCTTGCCTTGACTACTGTAATCCGCTCCTCAGTGGTCTTACGTGTTCCCAACTCTCCCCCGTTATAGTCTTTAATGAATGCGGCAGAGAGGCTCATCTTCCTGTCTCCCTGCATCTCCTACGCCTACCCCCTTTGTCAATTTCTTCATTGGCTTCCCGTAAGATATAGGGCTCAATGTAAGATCCTGAAACTTGCTTACAAACCTCTATACAATGCTGCTTCGACCTACTTATCCTCACTAATACACAAATATGTCCCATCTAGGCCCCTACGCTCTGCCGGAAATCTACGTCTAACCTCTGTACATACTCCTACCTCTAATGCTCACCTTAATGACTTCTCTAGGGCTGCACCTTTCCTATGGAACGCCCTTCCACTTTCTGTTAGACTCTCACCTAATCTCCACTCCTTTAAAAAATCTTTGAAAACGTACTTCTTTAGGAAAGCATTTCAATTAAACTGTGAACAGCTTTCCCTCCCCGCACCCTGATTCCTCTCCTGAAACTGTCATCAAAACAGCTTGTCTTTTAAATATTATAAAGATATATCAGTAACATACACATGCACTCACATGTATAAATGCACAAATGCAATCTTTCGTGTAAGCTCATACCTTGCTACCTTACCAAGCACTTAGTATAAAATACTGTATTTGCTAGATTGTAAGATGACTGATCCTTTTGTATCAGTATATGCTTATTTTTTTATGTATTCTCTCTTTTGTACTTTTGTGGCTGTATATAAATACTAAATAATAATATATGTATTTATAAAGTGAAATAATTAGCTATAGAATTAACAATCTGTGTTGCTGTTTTACAATTTGTTAATAAACGGTGCACAATTCTATTTCTAACAATTTCCTTTATATTCTAATTTTCCAGGCTAAAATAAAATGTTCTTCCACCTGCAAATGCATTGGATGCAAAAATAATGAGGAAAGTCCAGATCGGAAGTCTTCTATGAACATGCCACAATACGCAGACATGGAAAGGTGTGGTAAACAGTGATAGTAGCAGAATATTTTTCAAACATGATGTTGAACTGTATACTGGCTCCTCAAATAATAACCTACAACGTGTCCTTATTGCTAAACATTTTCATGTTGTGCAGTATTTTGCATGTTGTGTTGCAAAAAAAAACCAAAACATTAGAACCCCCACCCCACAAAAAAACACTGCGAATCGACAATACCAAGTAGAGGTACTGAAGTGTTGAAATTTAGCAGAGTCATTTTCGCACAGCAGCAGCATGTAGAAGTCAGAGCAGGGCACACATATAAAGATAATATATATATATTGTCAATGGTTTGCTTAAACAGGATCAGACTGATTTAATAAAATCAAAAAGACTTTGTTACATCTCTAAGGAAAATGAAATGCATAGCAACAGAAAGGTTACTGAGGCAAGACAAGAAGACAACATACTTCCACTCCAACATCACATAGACCATAGAGCAGTGTTCTCCAACCCAGATCTCATGGAAAACTGATAGTCCAGGCTTTATATATTTCTCTGTTTTATTCCAATGGAGATACTGACAAAACTTGTACTGTTGGTCGTACATGAGGACTGGGTTGGAGAACTCTGCCATAGAGGACAGACCAAATGCCACCAGCAACGGGAAGTCCTCCAATATATTCATATTAGGCACTAGTGATTGTTACTAACAGGAAACCTACACTATTTGCATATCCTATTGGTCCCACCCAAAAATACTTTATATTATAATAATTTGGTTTACGTTGCTTTCTGAATAGCAATTCCTAGATTGAAGTCTATGGAAAGTTGCAAAAAAGTAAGCAGAGTAAACCCTTACTCAGCTGAGAAAATTCAGCCCAAATTAACATACCAATTATCTGGTTATCTAATATAAATTGAATAGTGTTGTACTTCTGTCCTTTGAATACCCCGGATGGTCCAGGATTATTTTTGCTAAATGGATCTTAGTGAATGACTGTTGCAAAATATCCTTTTTTATAGAAGAAAGTTGGATTTTACCTATAATGTTATTTTAAGCAAAAATATATTTTGGACCTAACACATAATTCTAATTTGTTTGCCTTTTCCTCCACAGTATTCTTAAGACTTGCAGGTCCATAGAAGTAATAAAAGCAACTTGTGCTTGTCTTCTGGCACGTGCCGAAGAAGCAGAAAAAGAAGAATATTGCCTAGGAGAGCAAATGGTTTTGGAAGAATTTGGTAAATGTTTGGAACAAATTCTATCCCCAGACATCCAAGATGGCACTTGTTAACCAAAAATGGTAACTTCTATACATATGATCTGTATTGTATATTACCTATATGTGGATTTAGTCATATAGCTGATATTTAAAGGTCTTTATAAGTTAAAATTCAAAATGTGGTAAATATTAATTACCCAAAAGGAAGATTCAGTATACATTAGTGTTATTTACTAAACCATGCTTTGCTGGGAATTTATTTAATTTAAGGCAAAAATAGCTGAGCTAGAAGCATACTTGAATTTGAAAACGTTTTCATTTCTGATATCTTGACCTAAAAAGTTGCATTTCCTTGGTGAATGCTTGATATTTCATCGTTTAGTGAATAACCATTATGTCAGAAGACAAAATGCAGATGAGTTCAATGTTTAATCCTACCTACTAAGATATTTTAACTCTAGTAAAATCCTCTGATGGTTTATTTTAGCCACAGAAATATATATAGGTAAAAAGCTTCAAATATACCTTCTAAGTGTGTGAAGAAAACGTTTTAAGTAATTTTCTACATGATGCATGTACACACACTGTATATGTACACTGTTAAAAACTGCACCAGATATTTCTAAATCATTACTAACTAAACATAGTCAAACTGGCTTGCACTACCTGACCTAATGCCATAGATGCTGCATCAGAGAATAGAGAAAATTATCACCCTGATGCAGCACTAAAATAATAAGTAAATAAAAAAATATCTTTAATTGCCCTTTAACAAGGGAACCATTGCTAAATATCCTGAAATATTTTCATAATTTTGCTCTTTAAAGGGACACTATAGTCACCAAGACCACTTCAGCTCAATGAAGTGGTCTGGGTGCCAGGTCCCTCAGGTTTTAACCCTTCACATGTAAACATAGCTGTTTGAGAATAACGGCTATGTTTACATTTGGGGTTAAAACAGCCTCTAGTGGCTGTCTTCCGGACAGCCACTAGAGGCGAATCTGTGACGCTGGATGAGAATTTCACCTTCATCGCGCAGAGCGTCCATAGGAAAGCATTGAGAAATGCTTTCCTAGGGACACTTTGAATGCGCGCACGGCACTTGCCGCGCATGCGCATTAGGCTCCAGTGACGTCGGACAGGGAGGAGATAAAGGTAAGCTGCTGAAGGGGTTTTAAGCCCTTCATTGCCACGGGAGGGGGACCCTGAGGGTGGGGGCACCCTCAGGGCACTATAGTGTCAGGAAAACCGCTTTGTTTTCCTGACACTATAGTGATCCTTTAAATAATCAGTTAAAAATAATATATTTATCAAAGATAATTTATGAAAAATATAGTATTTTAGAAAACATTTTAATATCACTGACAAACAGTTGTTAAATATATAGCATTTTTTTATTTTTATGTTTGTTTTTTGTGAATGTCCTTCACACACATCTCCTTACAGCTAAGTTAGTTTTAAATTATATTACGTTAGAAATACCCTATTGTATGAGTTGGGAATAGTAGAAATTTTGCAGCTTTATCTGCTAAGTAACAAATCTTTACAAATATTGGAATAAATAAATAAATAGAACACTCCATATATTCAGAGTTAGTGTTAATTAGGTGTTTTATAAATGTCTAAACTTCTATATTTATTATGCAGTTCATACTTTTCACAAATAGTTTTTTTTAGTTGAAACAGAATTGTAAATTGTATTAGCTAAATTGGGACTAATTTCCAAATCTGATCCCAAATATTGTCATAATTGCCTTGATTTAGTATTTTTGGAGAAGCTTTTCAAATGATTTAATACTTTTTAGTAAACTTTTAAAGTGTTGTTATATATTTTTTTTTCAAAATATTAAAATAGCAAAAAATATATCAAATACTGGTATATAAAAAAGATAGCAATATTTCATAAGATATCAAACTATTTAAATATTTTTCAAAACATTAAATAATTTTAAAGGTTTATCCAAAAACTTAAATCAAGGCCAATATAATAAATCTTAAATTATTTTCAGTCAATAAATTCTATATTTGACAGTAGTCTTATTTGTATAGCGTAATGTGTAGTAATCTGTTTGCATATTGACTGTCTTTAATATAGTTCAGATGGAGGATGTTTGTTCCATGAATTAAATTAACTTTGACTATCCTACTAAATATATTTCATTGATAGTACTAAATAAAAGATTACCAGACACACATTAGTTTATGTATATGTGTTACTTACTAATTCCCAAATTATTAAAATGCATCAGTTAATATGAACTAAGGTAAGGGTGTAATTATTGCCCATATCATTGTTTTAATTTTATGAACCTTATAAGAATAAAAGGCAGTGTTGTTTCTGCCAGGAGAGATACCCATAGTCTTAAGACAAACAGGAAGTAGAGATACTCCAGATAGAACACTAACCCAGCTGTTTTATCTGCTAGACATTGGATATCATTACATGTTGCTACATTCTTGCATACGTTTGAAAGTCATATTTTCTTGTTAAATAATAGTATATTTTTTTGTTTGCTTCCAATGTTGCCATGTAGCCATTAAGTAATAAAATTACTGACAACCTTAAGATAATTGTAGATTATGTTAACATAATGTATTTATAATCTTAATTTTAGTAATAACAAGAGGCGAGTATTTTGCAACAGGTCAATCAAAAACTTGCACTAATCAAAACAAAAGTCATTAGAGTTATAAGTCCGGCACAACGCCCAACTTCTCCTCTTTCTTTGGTGTGAACATAGATAGTCCATTCAACAGGAACGGAAAAACTGTAGAACTTGACCATTCTGGTAACTTTGAACAGTAATGTAATGGTAAGTAAGTAGTATCCCAATTGCAACCAATGGAGATATTCATACTGAAATAAAACAAGAAACACGTGAAAGGTACTTGTAATGACCATAAGTCAACATCATAATGCTGTGCAGAATATATATATATATATATATCATAATGTTCTAGAAAACTGCTATAGTCATTAAATTAAATTAAGATAAATGAGTTAACCAAAATTATACTTGTACAACTGTGAAACCCAGCAGAAGTCATTAGAAAAACCTACCTAAATTAGTAAAAAGTCTACCAAGATTAAAATCTAAACTATAGAAATAGAAAAAACATATAGAAACGAGTAAGACAAAATATGAGAAAGGGAGGTAAAATACTCGCCTCCTGTCATTACTTCAATTAAGATTCTAAATAGACTACGTTAGCATAATCTACAATTTTATCACATGACAGGAGGCTTCATATTTTGCATTTTATTTATTTATTTATTTTTATTATTCTTTATTTTTGCCACAGGCAGCCTAATGGTATTTACAACATGCAATACAATGGTTAGAGATATAACATTATAGTTGGTGATATGCATACAAACGTAATGTTAACTGTGCTGACTGTGTTTGTTTTTATTTTTAATTAGAGTAAACAGCCGTGCTGAAGCACTTCATGTAGTTGTTATGATCAGTAGATTTAGTTTAAAAGCACGGCAATGCTCACACTAGTAAACATAAAAATAAAAATAAAAAGGTGAGTATAGACTGAAAGGTAGGGGATGCGGTGCGATCCATAATGGCAGCCCCACATGTTAGGGGGGAGTGAGAGATTATTTGTGCGTAACTGGGGAGGGGGTCGGCGGTAATAGGGGAGCTAGCGTAACAGGGCTATTCCCGGTCATGACCCAGGAAGGCCACAGGGGTTACCCATAAACTTGGTAGGATATAATCCAAGAGACAAAACCAAATATATAAAATGTAGGAACTTATACATTTAAGACACTCAAGACCCTCTTTGTAGAGGTAAAAAAGATTTTGTAAATAAAGCATACAAACTAAAGCAAAGGAAGGGTGCCGCAATCAGGTAACTGCCACATCGATCTTCCTCTTGGTCGCTGGTATGAATGGGATTATGGTGGTTGGAGTCATCAATGTGGAGATGCGATGCAAACCAAGCCTGGTCAGGATGGCGTCTGTCTCGGAGGCATCCGTCACTTTATATTCCACGTTCTTGTGCTGTATGATGAGAATGTGAAGGGTAACATAGCGATATTTAATGCTTTGAGTCGACAGAAGTGTTGTAAGAGGGCGCCTTGATTTTCTCCATTGCTGTGTCACTTGGGATAGGTCGGAGAAAAAGGCTAAGTCCATCTCATCAAACTTATATGGGGTTTTCCCTCTGATCACGTTCAAGATGGCGGCCTTATTAAGACCATTTTGAAATTTGATGAGTAGGTCACTGGTTGCTGAAGCCACAGCTGATGGAGGTTTAGGAAGGCTCACATCCCGTCTAACATTATGCCTTTTGCCTGTTTGGGTGGCAGGAGGGCCGTGAACAGTCTGCTCAGAAAATGAGGTAGTTCTGCAGTGGTGACACTGTCTGCTAGGCCTCTAATTTTCAGGTGCTTCCACCTCCTTTTATCCTACAGTGTAGCTAGTTGGTGACTAAGGGCTGCATGGGCCGAATTGAGGTCACGAACCTGCTTTTGCAGCTCTAGGACTTGGGATGTGTGAGCTGTTGTGGTTTGCCCGACTGTGTCCAGGCGTACAGTGAACCCCTTGGCGAAGGTCTACCAAAAGGCTAGTGAGCATTGTTGTGGTAACAGGGGGTGATATTCCCACAGTGGGCTTAGGTGGCCCTTTATAGCCTAGAACTTCCATGTCATGGAGAGACTAATCCTCCGATACATCAGAGAAATCCCAGAGGTCCTTCCACCATTTTAGGCATCACCTCTCCATGAGGTCTTCGCAGCAGATCGCCAATATCGGCGCAGAATCAGGGCCGATCTGGCCGAGGCTACTTATTCTTTCGCACCATCATTAGAGGAGCACCCCTGGTGTTATTTGGGAAGTTTGTGCCACGATACGTGTGCGTTTCCGGGCCGATTGTGTGCCTCATCGGTGGAGCTCCGTGTCCCTGCGGCTTGCTTGATCGGGCGCTAGCTCCATCCCCATATTTTGCATTATTAACGCTATTCAAGTAGTGAAAAAGAAGCATAGGAGGAAGGACAAAAATAAAAACCCAGAAAAGTGTCTTCCTGAGTCCAGTCCGCCGAATGCATGATATCTGCAAGTGATGCACCTGTCGAAAAGGCATGTGTCACTGCTGCGCCCCGTATGGAGTGAGTGCCGAAATAAGATTAGTCACTGGCCAAAGTCAGAAGCCAACATACCCATCTAGCGAGAATACTTGTAGAGACCGGTTTGTGAGGTCTTGTATAAAACACGAGAAGTTGACCCGTCAGAGAGCCTCATTGTGACAGAACCACTGTCTATTTGTGGAGTTCCTTCCTTACTGTGTGTGTTCCCCTGTAATTTCCGTATACTGTGCCCCACTTCCCGTTCGGGAGAGCTCCCATGAAAGAAACTCATTCGTCTTCCGAACGGGGACCACCCCCATATGCCATTTAGAACATGGGTTAGAATGTTCCCGACTCATTCATCTCCCGAACGAGGACCTCCCCGGTGCCCCATTAGAACGTTCCCACCAATTAATCAGAATGTTCGCACTTGCAACATAAGTGTGAAACCACAACGTTTGCACTGGCAACATAGTGTGAAATTACAAGGGAAGTAATTAATCAGTGATCCCTCTGTGGCAACCCTTTCGTAAAGACAAACACCAACCCCCCTGAAAGGAGATGCCTCCCTTACAGGTTTCAGCACCGGAGACTTGCAGAGGCTCCTGGGATATGACCCCTGGTGGTTTGAGAGGAAAACCCCTTGTACAGGGACATGCATAAAAGCAGAGTGTGGCTCAATAAAATTGTGTTGTACCTCCAGAACTGTGTGTCGTCCGGTTACTGGGGGGAAATGGGTTTCATTCTACTCTAAAGTGGTTCCTGAGCAGCTGAAGGAATGTAATAGCAGAGGTCACCGGTCGGGTTACCTGGGGTCTGCTACACTCATAAAGGGACAGTTGTCCCCACGTATTTAAGTAACATTTAGACCACGCAAAGTTAAGGTTCCTTAGGAAAAAATGGGTAAAAAACTGTCATTGAATTTGTCTTAGTGTGTCTTGAAACCAAGAAAGATGCTGTGTCCAAGGTAAAGGTAAAATCATCAACATCAAAAGCCCGAACCTCTGCTACCCGACAAAAGGAGACTAGGCAAAACAACACCGTTAGTTTAACTAAAAGTTGGTGTAAGGACAGCGATGCGTTGTCTGGCCAGTCCCGTAAAAATCGTAGTACCACGAAATATGTGCCGCTGAAATCCCAGCCAATTACTGTCATCCTGCCAATGT